GCAACCCACTATTTTTAGTGATTTTGTGTGTTTCGAGTGGTTTTGTATGTTTCGAGTGATTGCACGTGAGGTTCTCTGAACTGTGTACTAGTTTTGTGCGTGTGTACGTGTATGTTGTTGCTTTGGATGGTTTATAACATCAAGTATGAGTTGTTGTGCAACACGAGGTCTGTTTATAAACACCTGGTTTGTTTATAAACATGTCGTGTCGTCACAATCATACAATCATGTGCCTCCTCTTCAGAAATAATATTGTATATGATCCCCGGGGCCTAGTGCTTGTCTTTGCTGGGTGGGCTGGTGCTGGAAAGGGTGTGGACCCCCGGGGCGGCACTAAGAGTCGTTGGCGACTCGACGAGCACCCCCCTTTCCCCCATCCAGTTGCACTAGGGCGAAAGTGCCGTACATTTACATGCAGCATGCTTTACTCTCAGGAAGGCCATGATTGATTACTCTCAGGTGGTCATGATGCTGCCCCGGTATAGTCGAATGAAAAGGCCCTGGTTCCTTACGTATGTCTGTTGAGAGTGTGCGTCTTGGGAGCAGTGCCAACAGGTGAGATTGGACATTCTTGTGCAGTCCCATCTAGGCTGAGCGGCAGCGAGGGAAAAGAGCTACCGACGACTCGCTGCATGAAGTCTTCGATACGCCCTTGGAAACAAACGGCCGCACGAAGTCGGTCATACCGGGGCGATCGGATGCTGAATCACACGGACGGAGCTTTGATAACATCATACAAGTACCTTGGGAGGGAAGGACACGGCTGAGTTATTGGAAGACACCAAGTTGCACATTCCTCGCGGTATGGTACGGCCTGACTTAATCCGCCCCACCCCCTCTCCCCCCTTCCACGGGTGGTAGCAATGGTGCTCCCCGTTTGCTGTATTTCGGGTCGTAGCGATGGTGCTCCCCGCATTGCAATCACCCACCCGCCCTCCCGCTCACCTGGGTCGTAGCAATGGTGCTCCCCTCTCCCACAACCGGGTCGCAGCAATGGTGCTCCCCACTCGCCGACTACCAGTTCATCTCACACGTGGAGGTCAGCATGGCGACTCTCCATTGCGATATCGGACAATTCCAGGTGGAAGTGGTGGTGCCCGTTGGCTCGGGCTATACCTTGTTGTCATCGGTTATAAGATGGTCGATCACAGTTGCGTCAGGCTACATCCCTGCTGGAGGGTTACTCCTGACACCCCTGTTAAACAGCCGGAAGCAGCATGATGCTCAGCAAGGCCCATCTCCTCAGGACTCCCGCCGCTTACCTCCTAGCACCGTGTGTTGAGGATGTCCTGATTTGTTGCAAATCATCAAACCACGGCTTTCGGATCGCATACTGTTGATTTCACACTTCCGTCATCTTCCTGCTGCTGCTGCTGCGTTTGCTCTGCTTCGCATGGGGCCATGACGCTTGCGGAGCCCCATGCCCCGTTTGCGTCTTAACCCTTCGGGGCGGAGACAACGCGGGTGCCCGTCTCCTTGCCAGGAGTCGATTTCTCTCTCTCTCTTCTCTCTCTCTCTCTCATATTGTATATGATATGTTTATAAACAGCTAGCCTGCCAGACATGTAGATATGTATGTGTTTATAAAGACCGGTCTGAGGGGAGGGGGGGGGGGGGGGGGGAGGGGGGAAGGTTCAGCGCATGTCCAACACTTATCACCCCCCCCCCCTCCCCTCTCCTCCAAAAACAAAAGCAACGCCGCCCTGCCCAGGTATGGCGCTGAGCTGAAGGGCGGCCATCGGCCGTCACTGCGTGGGTAAATAAATAGTTGATATGTGTGTGTATATATATATATATATTATAATAGCAATCACTTTGTTTACGAGCGTGTAGAGACAAGCACGTAGATCTTCTGTTGAATATAATAATGCACCTCGGCTGCAATTGGACTATCCTATACTACGACTACTCTTTTTTTTTGTAATGCTCATGTTGCGGTTCTCATGATCATGATGACGTCAGCTTCACAAAACTGTTGATGCAGCATTCCGGATTAAAGTGTGTTTAGCTGCATTTCGCAGTTTAGCGGGTAGAGAAGCATGAAGCGGTCGTCGGCTGTGGCGGGTTTCGTTGAGTTCGAGAACGGTGTGTGTAAGCTCCAACTCACCAGCGTCAACCTCGCTACAACTGCTTCTTCCTCTTCCACGCCGTCGCCTTCACCGAACACTTCCGGAATGCCGTCGATCCAGAACATCATGTCGCAGATTGCTTCGCCGACGTCAAATGTACATGCATCGAAGCGAGCTCTCTCCAGTCGTCAGGTCCAATCTCACATCTGCTACATCCAACGGTCCCTCAACTTGACCACGGGCATGAAGGGCGAATGGACCCCACAGGCCTTGGAGATGCTCAACAAGTGGTTGTCGTCACCGAAGAAGGGCACCGGCACCAAAGCAGCCCTGGCCATCTTGGACGGTGTTGTAAACGACAAGCCGGACACAGAGGAGGCAAAATCCAAGAACTCGCTCGCGGAGAACCCCAACTTGGAGATAGAGGTCAAAGAGGCAAAGGACGCCGAGGACTTGCTCACAGAGAACGCCGACTTGGAGGTAGCCAAAGACGCAAAGGATGAGGACCCCCACTTGGAACCAAAGGAGACAGAGAACACCCAGGACACGCAGGCAGAGAACGCGGTGGACACCAAGGAGCAGGATGCCGACTCAGACTCGGATTCCTCATACTCGAGTTCTTCATCTTCTTCTTGGACATTGCCTACGGATTGGGGCACATGGCCCGCAGAATGGCATGACGTCTGGCAAGAGAGCTTTTTCCTCCTCGAAGAATCGGCAAAGGAGAGCCAGGAGAAAGCGGACATCGCCATGGGTCTGTTAAAGGCTGTGCACCGTGCCAAACTCCGATGGGACCAGGTCGAGTGAAGTGAGTGTAAGCATAGTCGACTCCTTGCAGTAGCGCCGGCGCCATTGCACAATTTGGGAAAAGCATCAAACTTGAAGTCAGTTGAATGAATCCCCAAACATGTTTATAAACACGGTCTTGTTTATAAACTCGTCCTGCCTTTCGCTTCCTCAAGCTTTTTGTCATTGGTAGAGATACTGCCCTCAGTGCCCTCAGCAATCCTCGCTTTGCACACCATGGATCACGCAATCATCGCAGCGAAAATGACGTACATCAAATACCACTCCGCTATCGTCCACAACTTCAATGATTCAGGTGAGTTCTCCATCAAAGACCTTCCGCTCATTGATGCCCCCAATACCAAAGGCAAGAAGTTCAAGGAGTTCTTCCACATCGTAGAGGGGGTTTCTGCTGCAGATTGCGATATCATCCGCAATGTCTACAACTCGGACCCGCCCAAGGTTAACGAGCTACCTGACTCAGTGCGTCCTCGTGATGCCCTTGGAGACTCCTGCGTATTGCAAATGGCCTTATCCCCTGAGCAGGACGGCAAGTACACGGTACTCAAGTTCTTTCACTCCTCCGCTTTCATTCCTCTGGGACTTGCCAAAGCCTTCTGTGCACATAAGGTAAGGGTCATCAACTACCAGGTCGCGAACAACAACGATCACGTCAAGTGCGCTTTCCTCTACATGCTTAACCGCATCCAGGGAGAGCAATGGTTGACGCAATCATTGGTGAACAAGGTGATTCGGGTGATGGGAAAAGCTGGGAGCCCAGTGACAACGAGCTACGTGAGGGTATCGCCTTTATCAACGACTACGCGCCTCTGTCCAACACCAAGAACGAACAGTTCTTGTGGTGTCTACTCAATGTTCGCGACCGCGAGTCTCCCATCTATGGCTGGCCCCACCATGTTGTCAACAAAGCTTGCATCAATCGGTCCACGGGCAACTCACAAAGTGATCCAGAATATTTCTTTCCACTTCTACTACATGACTTGGACCAAAGCTTTTTGGAGAAGGTCGTGCCGCTGGTGATGCCCACTATGACTGGGCATGGGCTTATCCTTTTGGGCCGTGCAGGTGTTGGAAAAACGCCCACTGCCATCATCCTCGCGATGGCCGTCGCCCGCCACCTCGTGGTAACTCGTGGTCTTGATGGCCACATTCCTGGATTTAGAAGATCGAAGCAGATCGACGGATTCCGGGAAAGGCCTGGCGAGTTGCATGTACCGGTTCTCCTCGATGACCCCTTGTTGCACTCCATGAACATGGAGGATATCAAATCCTTTCTCGATGTGGCCGAGAACACCCTGGTGGATGCCCGGTATAGGGCCGCCAAGTTTGTCCGCAACCAAGTCCGCATTCTCCTCAACAATGAATGGGGGGCGGAGAAGGAGCCACGAATGACCATGGGCGACAAGATTGATTGGCAGGCCTTCCATGATATGTTCAGTCCTACTGTCAATAATGCTTCGCTTCCCCACCTCATGGCCATTCTGAAGCGGGCTTCGGTGGTCATTGCCGGTGAATTGGCCATTTATGTTCGCTTGGCAAGCGAGCAGCCGGACCAGGTCATACACCGGTTCTGTTCCTGTTCCATGCTGAAGGATTGGTTGAAGCCCAACAACAAGAAGTTCTACAACTTCTACAAGGAAGGCCAGCATGTGAAATTCCCCGGCTATGAGGAAGCTCTTGAAGCTGAGGCCAATTTGGTGAGCGAGTTACTTGCTTCTCCTTCCGAGAAGGAGTATTTGGCCAGGGGGCGGTCCCACGATCAGTGGGCTGAGGCTTATGGCGGGCCACTGACCACGCCAAGAGGCAACATGTCGACGGCGGCTACCACCAATAGTCCAGCGATTACATCACCCCCTGCCAAGCAACAGAGGGTCGAGCACGACGAGGATGCGGACGAAGAGGCCGCGGGTTACATGCACTCCTGCGACTGATTCAACTCTTATAGCGAGGTGAACCATTTTGACCACGCAGATCCTCTGACAAGGACCGTTAACGGATGCCCGTTGGAAAACCAGAGAGCCTGCATACACACATTCACACCCAGCATCTGCCTGCATTGAACTCTGTCTCACTTCATTAGACATCTGGTGTCAAGTTTTGAGATCTTTAGACTTTAGATCCATCATGCCGACGACGATCAAGCGTCCAGCGGCTGCCCTTCCGCCCGCCAGAGCTGTGTATAAAACACATCTCACACGATGCTTTTGCTCTTCGAACTCCGTCCTGAAGCCAGGTCACGAGATCAATGCCATCCTCTACGGCATGAGCGGAATGGAACGCATTATCGTGAAGAGCTTCCGCTGTTCCAGCTTCGGGTGCAGGAAAACGTACGGGCCAAATTTTGTTTGGGATCTCTCTCACAAGTACAACACTGCCACCCCCAAGGACATTGAAGAGATCGGGGCTTACTTTGTGGGGACGAAGATTGGCTTTACGGCGGACTACTTGAAGTACCATAGCTTCTTGGAGTTCCGCGCCTCTGTGTCTGCTATGGCAATTAAGCACACATACCAGCACACTTTCAACACCGCTCATGGAGAGCAGTCAAACTGGTTTGCAAAGATGCACGCCTCCGCCATTATGTCGTGGATAGCCGTCCAGGAACTATATCCACTACAGCTACATCTCAGCATCAAGATCGGCGACGAGGTCACGCCTCATGCTCTCCAAGCATACCATGAGCACCTCCATCTCAAGGTCTTTCCACCGAAGCACAAGAATACAGTCAAAGAGCTTGTCGCTGATGGGCATCAGAAAGTCCACATCAAATGCGCAAACTCGCGCAAGCATGCAGGCAAACCTCCCAGCCATGGTCGCATAAAGCCGTTTGGCCATGGTTGGTTCATGTTGGTCCATCCTCGTGATCTTCGCATTCTGGCTGTCAGATCCATGTCTGTTCCGGAGAACAATGAGATCCTCTATAAGTCGCTCCTCGAAATCTTGCCTTTGTACAAGCACCTGGATGGCCTAATCATGGACCGTGCTTGTGGCTTCTTGCCCACAGCCAAGGCTGACAAGAACCTGAAACAAATCAAATACTGGAGCATCGACGGCTTCCACGCCAAGGGCCACACCAAAGGATGTCCTTGCAACCCCATCTACAAGAAGAGGTTGGCCAAAAGGTTCAAGGGGGTAAACTCCTCGGCGTGTGAACAAGTCTTTTCGTGGTTTAGAGGGTACGCACGACTTCTCAACGAGAGTTCCCCTCTGCGCCATAGTTTCAAGGTGTTGTACTTTGTGAAGTTGCATAATTGTGCAGTGGAGCAGAAGCAGTCCATGTACCTGAATCGCTATGTTCGCTCCGGTAAGAAAGCCAAGCGACCGTACTCATGTGGCAAGAAGACAGTCGCTAAAAAGCGACCTGCAGCAGCCATGAGCTAAGCTCAGAGGTACACGTGTGTGCATCAGGCAGAGCAGTCGGGCAAAATCAGCCAGAATGCATTACTGTCGGCACCACCACTAGTTTTGAACTTGTTCTGTTTGCACTTTGCATGTCAGCGCATCCAAGGTATGCTTCGTCATCCTCGCAACTTGGAGTGTACTATACTTATTGTAATGATATTTCCAATAAACATATCCCTAATCCCTTCAAAAGTGGGTTTTCAAAAACCCAGGCCCCACAGCAACCTGCTCTCTATACATATATACATATATACATATATACATACATAAATACATACATATATACATACATATGTACATACGTATATACATACATACATACATATCCTCAAATTTAAAGAGCGGGGGACGGTCCAGTTGTACCTTAGAAGCCCCGAAACCCTAAACGTTTTTGTAGCACACCGTTCGACACAAAGGCCCAAGCTCCTGCCGTGTCCCAGGGGGCGCCAAAAGCACGGCGTTCGAGATCCCTGATTGAATGGAATAGGGTTGCTAATGTAGGGCCTTCATGAATAGAACAGGGCTTTTAACGACGACCGTGGCTTTAGGGTTTCCGGTTTAATAAGGCTTCAAGTGTTTCAAGCTTTAGGGGCGCACGGGGGTGGCTACACTGGTTTAGGGTGTTGCTGGCTCATGAGGGAAATTTTGTGCTGCAGCTTGACGAAGTCATCTCTTAGTTAGATTTACCCGAGTCTGTTGAGATTTCGATCTCTTCAGTACAGAAGGACAGCTGTCATCGCCGGGCATGGTTAGGTGGAGTCCGTTTGATACAATATGGCAAAGCCTTATTTAAGGCCTTAGGAAGCCCTTACAAAGCCTCCAGAGCCCTCGAAAGCTGTTATTCAGGCCTTATTAAGCCCTAAGAAGGCAAGCCCAGAACCCACTAAGATACGAAGTCGAGCCCCTCAATTTCTTATTTTGGTGGTTTTTCCTATATGGCAAAGCCGTATTTTAGCCCGTATAAAATTAAGCCTTGAAAAGCCTTCCGAGCCTTCCAAGGCTGTTATTAAGGCCTTACTAAGCCCTTGGCAAAGCCGTACCTGAGCCCTTATTAACTTATTAAGCCCTTAGGCCCTTACAAAGCCTCTTGAGCCCTCCAAAGCTGCTGTTTTTAAGGCCTTATTAAGCCTTATTAGGCAAGCCCAGAACCCACTAAAACAAGAACTCGAGCCCTTGTTTTCTTAAGTTTAAGAAAACGAACCCTGTGATTGGCGATGCGTCGCGAGCTTTGTGCGCGCGACCGCGGCGTTGTTCTTGCCGTGATTGATTGACTTGTTCGCTCTTCTCCTGCTCGGGCGCAGCTGGCCGCTTTCGGGCAAAACGGTGCCTTGGGAAGACGTGCCTTGGGCGTTGGAAACAAAGACTCGCTGAGACTTTGTGAGCCAAGGCAAAGCCCCGCGGGACCCGCAGCCAGACGAGGCAGATGCTGTCAGGAAGGGTCTTTTCAGGAAGGGTCTTCTCAGGAGCCTCACCGGGTTATCAAAGTCGCCCCAGTTGGCTGCCTGTTGGGGAACTTGCTTTACAATATCGCAACAGGCAGGCACTTTTATTACTGCAGCATAATCTTTAGTACACTCCATATACCGATAACTTAACTTAACCCATAACATAGAATCCATGGAACTTCAAACACCTCTGTAAAACATCTTAGAACCCTCGTATGGCCGCTATGAAGCCGGTGAAAAAATTAAACATCGTGTAGTAGGAACCTGGGTAATTCTTTTTTTGCTTGATTGCTGTAGACAGTTTGTAAACATTTATGGAGGACACGTATAAAGGTTTCGGGTTTAGGTTTCCGAGCCATGAACTTGCGAATACGCTGGAGTTCGCAGGGTCAAGGGCAGAGGGTTTAGGTTTGCGACAAGAAAAGGAAATACTCCGAAGTTCATGTTTTGGGGACCCAGTGTCCTTTTCGCATCCTTTGTATTAGTTCGCTGTTAACCAAGTTAAAACCCAGTAGGGCCGATACGTGCTACCATTATGGAATCAAGCTCTCCCAAACCATTTTGACATAGGTTTTCCACGGGTATATGTGTGTGTATATATCTATATGTGCGTGATATATCTGGGCCCTCTGGGTATGCTTCAGCGATCGTTGACGTCGCAGCTATAATTTCAATTCGAGGCAACGTGTTTGAGGAGGTGATGGGCTTTGGGTTAAGGGTTCATTGAAGGTTTGAGGGTTGTGGGGTTTAACCAGCTTTAGGCTATGATACTCGGGTTTAGGGTTCGATTCAAGTTTTCGCATGTTCGGGCGTTGGAGGTGGGCGGCTGTGTCCCTAAACTGCAAACCCGTACATCGGCCCTCAACCACCGGAAGCTGTCAAACCTAGGCCCTCAGCCTGTTAAATTCTAAATCCTTATAAGCATATTGTGTTTTTGTTCGGGTCGAGGAGTATAGATTTGGTGGGTTCGGGGCTTACGGCTTTTGGTTTTGTCGGCTTGGGCTGTCGGGTTGAGGCCCTTTGAGCTTCCATGTTGGCAGCCTTTTCAAATCTAACTGTGTATGTAGGGTCTAGGGTTCTTGTGGTCATTGAAGCGGTGCATGTAGGTTTATGGTTCCAGTATTCAACATTTAAGTTGGGTCTAGGATTCCTGCATCCTGCCTGAGGCCCTACAGCTGGTCAATGACACATGAGATGGGCAATGCGTCGGGAAAACCCTGAACGCAAGCTTGGGGTCCTTACCCATCCGTTTCATGCCAATGACCCGGAGCGCCGGAACATGCGGCTCGAAACACAGTTCAGGTTTGGGGTAGAGGGGTTAGGGTTCACAAACGCTCAAAATCCACAGAGTAAGGCACAACACGGTATCAATACTTCCCGACCTCTTCAGACTTTGCCATATCGGAAAAGAAACCACCAAAATAAGAAATTGAGGGGCTCGTTTTTTGAAATAGGAAAACGAGGGGCTCGAAGCTCAACCTCATATCCCTGCAAGCTGCCCTGAGCCCTAGACCCTGAATGAAGGTACTTTCTGGGACCTTCAATCTCAAACGACCCTAGAATCTTTGAACTAACGCACATTGGATTCTGCAGCTTTGGGGGCTCCGATATAATCAATGAATCAAATCAGACAAAAACCCATGCGTTCACGGCAGCTGCACATGTTTTTCGAGCCCTAAACCTTCAACCCAACCAACCCAAAACCCCAAAACCCCCCGAATCCCACACTCAAGGTCCGGGAGTCCCAATGTGAAACCCAGTACTTGAAAGGTTCATGGTAGTTATAAGTAAGGTTATAAGTCCCCTAATAGGGCTTATAATTGTAGTTACTCTACAGGCAACAGCACTGCCTAAGAAATCACTATTGAGCCCCTCGGACAGCCGTGCGATAAAAGAATATACCAAAATGCGCAAATTCAAAATAAGAAAATCCGAGGTACCCTGGACTCGGCGTGCCAATTTCGTATTTTGCTCTTTCTCATTTTGTCTTCGCTGGTGTTGTTCGCGCAAAAAAACCAACAAACAAACGGAGTTTCCAAAAGCTCGGCGCCAAACCCTTACAAAGGAGGGCGTAGCGTTGAAAAAGCAGGTTGGGGGGATGAAGGTTATGGGTTTGGACTGTGAGACTCCGGCGTATGCGGGATGCCTTGATCAGCGGTTTATGTGAGGCATCTTTGGGCCCTGTGGGGCTGTGTTTTTTTTGGGATGAAGTCTTTATCGGCTTATTCTGAATTCGGTTGCTGTTAAGGTGCTTTCTCCACGAGGCGCGTGTGATGCTCGGCACTTAAAGCATGGATTCTATTGCAAAGCACTGTAAAGACGTAAGTGCCACCGTGAGTGGATAAGTTGAGCAGACCTTTTATCTGTCGTCCAACTTGCGGTACTGGATGAAGACTCCGGTTACAAGGTACTACAGCGGCCCCAACGAGTAGCATTGGAGTTTTCGGGCAGATTCTGCTATCAAATACGGTGCACGACCCGAAGAAACAGTAGTACTAATTCTTCAGGCTTCCCCTCAAACCCTAAACCTTACACGCCTTTCAGCCCTAAGCGCTAAACCCTATTCTTCGCGCAGTTCGGCATCCTAGAGATCCTTGGGAGGAGAAGAATCGCCGGAAGGTGGAGTACCCCTGCCCGGCGGGCAACGGCCGCGGGCCAGCCAAGGACCCCTAAACCCTAAACCCTAAACCCTCAACGCTAGGACTTGGACCCGCAACCCAAAACCTCAAACCCGAAGCCCTCACCCTGAGTCGACCAGACTTTGGGGTTTGGGGTTGGGCCCTTCCCGGATCTCATGAAAAACGAACCCTAAACCTAAACAAGTCCTCCCCACATCCAAACCTCCCAAGTATGGCTTCCAGTGCTGGGGCAAGTGCCAAATCATAGAAAGGCTTGCATCACCACCTACATCAATACAGGGGCATAAATAATTTGGAGCGTTCCTTATTTTAAGTATAGTATAATTGGCCCACCGTGAGAATCCTTACACCCTCAACCCGAATCCCCGAGCGGGTTGGTTTCAGGTCTAAACCTACAGGCCCTAAAGCGAGAGTTCCTTCAACCTTCAAACCGTCAACCCCCCAATTTGTCAGCATTCTGCACCGGAAGTTCCCTGAGCCCTGAACCTTTAGGATTGAGGGTTCAGGCTGCAGGGAACCCCAAACCCTCAAGCCCACACTCTGAACTTTAAAGTCTAAACCCTGCAGCCCTCCAGGCCGGGCTCTTAGGGAGGCCCTACGATAGGGGCCTGAATATTTTGGTGGTTTCTTAAATTGTGATGATAGTAATAAAACAAAACCTGTTCTGACTAGGGTCCCTTTCAAACTATGATACTATTGTTGGGCTCCAAAGTATGATAATTTAGAGCCCTATTCTTACTAAGGCCCCTTTTAGAAAGGCCCCAAGCAGGAGCTTGCCGCCCTCTACGCCTCGCTGCTGCCCGGGGCGCCGGCGCCTCTGCTCCAACCCGAGACCGTCGAGCAGATCACGGCTGTGGCGCGGGAAGGCTGGTCCTGGGTTTAGGCTTGCAGGGTTCAGGGCTTTCTGGGTTAGGGGTTTAGGCTTTGTGGTTTGGGGGTTTAGGCTCTCGGGATTAGGCTTGAAGGGTTAGTGGCAGGTTCGTGTGTAAGTCAGCTTTCCTTTCGAGTGTGGTGAGCATGAGTTACGGGCCTTTTTGGGGCTCTGCGGGTCACTTCGTGTTTAGAGACGTCTTGTTTGATGTTGGTTGAGCGAAACCTGAATCACGAACACAAGCAGACTCCCCAAATACTGGCTCGAGCTTATTGGTGTGCTGCCCGACTAGGACGGACCATCCCGACGCAGCCGAACTTTGTTGACATGACAGAAAACAGCTGGATCTGTGGCACAACAGCCACAACCGCAACCACAATAACCACAAATATAACCACCACAGCAACAACGGCAAGAAGAACAGCAGTGACGAGGAGGAGGGGGAGGTGAAGGACCGCCACGAATACGTGTCACCAACGTGGCAAGTCCACATGTTTTAAAAAGGATGGCGGAAGTTGAACCCCAGGTTTTTCCAGGGCACCACAGTGGTGGTAGTTTTTGGCGTCGGGCTCTGGTGGTTCTTGCCGTCGGGCTGCAGGGTCGAAGATTTCGAGAATTCCTTCTCCTTCCCAGAACTAGCACGCCCGAGGCGTTCGTTATGATATTTTCGATACGACTTCTCGACCCTTTCAAAGATGTGGTGGACTCTAATATAGTTACTAATTGCTATTGTGGGGGTTCCTTATCATGACGTAAGTATAATATTACCCAAAGCCCCACCCATTCTATTGAAAGGCGCCTACATTAGAAGGAGGCCCGAGACCCCAGGCATGCCAGCCTTGCCTTCGAGAGGCATCTACGACGAGCTGCAAGGGGTAGACACACCCTGGTCACTGGGCTTCGCTGTGAACTGCATCCTCTCAGGAGCCGCCCTCAACCCTAAATCCTTAAACCCTCAACCTAAATCCTCAAACTTCACTCCAAACCCAGCCCTAGCCCGATGCTGCAAACCTCAAACCCTAACAAATCCTAACAACATCCCCACGCTTCTTTGGAGTCTCATCCTGAAGCCGAATCTCCACTACCAAAACCACCGAAACACCATGAACCCCCCAAACCGGGTATCCTAAACCCCAAGGCCTTCAGGTAGATTTGCAAACAAGCGCCCCCCAAGCCCCGCACCTCTGATGGGATGAAATTACTAGAGCCGACAGCCATGAATTTTCAGGACGGCATGCCTCGCCAAAAGCTTTTGGCCATGGTGGTTCGCATCCCGCCTGATCGCAATGAGGAGTAGCATCAACCGCAACGGCAGCAAGCATTGCAGCAACCATAAGTAATCATCATGACAACGAAGGTGGTACTGTGCCTACAGTTAGTTGGGTCTATCCGATGTTTCGAAAGTTAGCCGAACCACCGCCAGCACCACCACAGTCGCCGCCACCGGAACCGGCAGGAATATTGGACAATGGCAATCAGGACGACTCTAGTGTTACCTAGAAAACCATAGAAGGGTATAGGAGGGGTGCTGTGAGTGTGAACAGATGAAAAACGAAATCCCCATGCACTATTGCCCTGCTGCTGCTGCTGCTGCTGCTGCTGCTGCTCGTCCTCCTACCCTCCTACCACACCTACTACCGCCGTGCAAAGTTTTTTTGATATGTTTTAAGGAAGTCGTAATGGCAGTAGCAGCACATTCAGTAGCAATGGTAGTAGAAGCAGACTAGAGCAATCGTATCTATATGCGTGCTCGTAAGCGTGACAACAATGTCTCTCTTGTATCACATGAAAGCCCAACACTATCACTACCCCTCCCCAACCCTCAACCCTAAGCCCTGTAATTTACCGCCCAAACACCTCAACCCCAAATCCCAAAGCCCTAAATCCAAGCCCTTAAAACGACGCCACCCCTACGGAACAAGCCATGCCAACACCTGATTAGCCTCCGACAAGCATCTTGCAACATCCTATTACAAACTTTGAGGAAACCCTTCATAAATCCTCTTCAGACCCTCATGCGACCCTTTATGAAGCCCTGACAAGACCCTGATGGCCCCTAAACCCCTAGAAATTTTGAAAAATACACAAAGTACGAAAAACCAAAAACCTATATGTAAAACATACAAAAAAGCGTATATAAAGCCTACAAAAAAAACAAGGCAGAGCTCCTGGGCTTTTGCGGACCCCGAGCATGGCCTGGCGGTGTGCTGCCTCTGCAACGGTGGGGGGCCTCAGCGCTTACACATGGGCGGTTTCCGAGAACAGCCTTGTCCTTTTTCATGGTTCCCCCAAAAGAATAAACAGACCGGCTTGTAGACCTTCTTAAATAATTTTAACGCTAGGCCGCCCGCCTCGGCGTGCCAGGGCTCGAAGGTGAGGGCATCGAGTAGGTTTGCCAGCTCCGGCTCCGCGCGCGCGGGTTTGCATCATGCGGCAAAGACGCCCGATTTTCGGGGTATGACTGTAAACTAAATTGGAAGCTGCATTCGAGGAAACATCGTCTCGAAGTTGCATGTGCCCATTCAACCAACGATGTTGCCTTAACCAAGCTGGTCCCACGCCGTAACAACGGAACCTGCAGGCACAAGCTGACGGGCAGGCGAGAGAACGATGGGGGGGGAAGGGAAGAGGCGGAGGGGGGGTAGGGAGGGGGGGGGAGGGTAGGGGGAGGAGGGGGGGCATGGGGGGGGGGGGGGGAAGGGGAGGGGGGGGGGGGGGGGCTGGGGGCGGGCGGGGTGGGAGAATGGACTCAAAAAACAGGGGCCTGTGGCCTCGGCGGATTTCTACTAAGGGATATAGGTATAGGGCTCTGTCTATTATTTCTAAAAGGACAAGGGTGTCCGAGAGTTAGGGGTATGTTAAAGGGATCTATAGGGGTTCCTTAAAAAGGGATCTATAAGGGTTCTATAAAGGGTTTAGGGTTTAGAGTTTCCGAGACTTAGGGGTACCTAGGGTTCCTTCAAAGGGTTCTTTGAAGGGATCTATAAGGGTTCTATGAAAGGTTTAGGGTTTCCGAAAATTAGCGGTACCTTATTTTGGGGTCCTTATAATAAGGATCCTACTATTCAGGGTACTATATTAGGGTCCCCTATTTTCGGAAACTCCCACATTGTCGAAATTAGGGTCCCTGTTTGGGTATCTTAAACTAATAGGTGCCGTATTTTTTAGGGACCCGAAATGGGACCATAATTTTGACAACCACCCACATATTCATGGAGCCTTGCCAATGGCATGAAACATACTCAGGATAAGGCTAGTAATAAGTAAGGACAACACCAATAAAATTAATAATGATATACATAGTGATAACAATGATAACAATAACAATAAATAGTATGTATCTAGATATAGGGGCCTAGGTGATTACTATTTTGAGGTTCCTTATTACAAGGATAGTATCATATATTCGAAGCCCTATTCTGATTATCAAGGCCCGTATATCAGGGCTTTACTAATATTCGTTCATAGGGTTATTTCCAAGGGCTTTGGGTTTGAGGGCTTGCGTATCTTTTAGAAGAGGAGTTCAAAATAAAGATACGTAACTTTATTCAGTGTTCAGGGTTTTTGGGTATTTCTGGAAGCTGTAGACGGCCTTCCCACATGCTTCCCTTGACGTCTGTGTTGTGCATGTGTTTCCATAAGTTCCGTACCCTCTGACTTTAAGTCCTTCACCTTGAACCTTAACCCTGAACGCCAGACATGGTCACCTTGGCCTTCATTGCAGTAACTATCAGAATCTTCGCAGAATTAGACTAGAACTGGACTGGAATATACCCCCGCCAATCAAGGCCCCTCTGCTGCCGCCTCCGAACTTCGCTCAATCTGATGTCCCCGCAGTCCCAACAGCCCGGAAGCCCAAGCCCGAACCCGAAAGCACCAATAAGGGACGAGCCTAAGGCCCCCCCCGGCCCTGAAGCATCAGAAGTAGCCGCAAACTGGGTTCTTGTTAAGGGTTTTAGATAATCTGAAAAGTTTAATAAGTACAGTAATAGGGGTCTAGAGTAAAGAATATGGTTTCCTTGTTATGGTACCTTAAATGAAATCCCTCAACAAGCATGCAGTGAACCGCAGATCCTAAGGCGAAATCCTGTGAAGCCTGACACCTAGCCCTCCTTCTCTCAACCCCAACCCGTCAACCCAAGCTTGCACCCTATAACAAAGCCTATGAAGCTCATATACAAAGCTGAAAACCTTACGAGAAATGAGTATGCTTACTACACCCTATCCAGCCCAATAAGCCCTCCAACAAGAGTCTCACAAGCGCCATAACCATATCTAGCCGGCATAAAACCTTGAACATTTGTACAAACCCTTACGTGTCTCTGAAGCCTCTCAGAAGGGCCTGAAGCCCTACACCTGGGACCCTACACCCTGAAGCCCTGAGGCAAGCCCGGCCCAGATTTACACTACAAGCGGGTGGGCGCAGTAAGTACGGCCGTCTATGAGGACATCGTACGTTTCCTTCAGGTTTTGCGAGTCGCTTTTTTGGAGGGGTGGGGGGGGGGGGAGTGGGGGTGGGATGTCGGATTTGCCCGCTTGCTACTTGTGGGTCATAGCAGTTGCTGCCATGCAGTTCAACTCCACAAGCCGCCTAAAGCGGGCTAAACCCTTAAACCATCAAGCCTGACTTGGGGGAGCCCTAGCCCTTGCCTCCAAGCGCTAAGCCCTACACCCTGAACCTCAAACCCCAAACCTCAACCGGCAAGCCCCAACCCTGGCGGAAGGGGAACCCCAGTGAAGAATCAACAGACTGGATCTATAATAGGGTTCTATGATGTAGTGGCCTAAATAATTACCAATACTACCCTAAGCCCTAAACCTTGGGCCATAGCTTGTCAGGATTCGGCACCAGGCTTGTGTGCTGTGACACTGCGAATGACGGCCATCCCTGTTTCAGTGCTCAGGCCATGTGAGAGGCGTGGAGACATGCGTTAGGCCATTCTGGTGTAGGCATCGGGGTTTCAGGAAGCATACCTGCCTGAAGT